CAGTCTGACGCATAATCCAGTCGACCACAATTACGGATATCAAGGGTGATAATATGCAGCATTGTCTTACTCCTGTATGCACTTCGAACGCCTCACTGAGTTTTCCGCTGAAGATCACTTGACACGTAGCATTTTCATATAGCTGTTGAATGAGGTTGGTAAACACTTGAAGTACGCCGTAGTGTTGAAGTAGTTTCCAAATTACTTCTTGGCCTATGCTGTCAAAGGCCTTCTCGAAGTCGATGAAGTTGAGGTAGAGGTTTGTCTGCGATTCTATGCTTCGTTCAATGATGATGATTCGTTGAGTTGCAATTTGATCAGCTCATGATTTGTCTTTCCTGAATCCAGCCTGTTCAGGTCGGTGGGTGACGCAGTTCTGTATCCAGTGCATCCTTTATTATCTCCAGGATGATGCGACTTGGTATTTTACTTGGCGTGGACAAGAGCATTGTTCCACGCCAGTCAGCACTTGCACAGGCCTAATTCGCCCTTCTTCAGCAGTTTGACGAGGTAGCCGTTCTTCCAATCAGTAGGCACCTTTCATTCTTTCCAGACGTTTTGCAGTAATGGAGTGAGAACATCTGCCGTAATCTCTGGGGCAGTCTTCAGTGCCTAGGGAGGGATGCCGTCCGGCCCTGATGCCTTCCCGGACTTCAGTAGCTTAATTGCACTCGGGATTTCTTCTCTCGTTGGGGGAGTGGTGTCCATTGGTAGGCAGTTCCGTGCGTGCTGATGGTGATATTTCTGGGCGAGTTGCAGGTGGTGATCGATTCAAGAGTCCTGTAAAGTGATCAGCCCATTGTTTGATTTGTTTCTCCTCCTTGGGGATCACGTTGCGTCGAGCATCTTATATTGGTTTCATCATCTGCGTTGATCTCTTCTTGGATAGAGACTTGGTTATTTGATATAATATCCCGTGATCTCATTTGCCTGTGGCTTGTTCTGCTTCAGTTGTCGGCCAATGTGTCGTAGAATTGTCTTTTGTCTTTTATAGCACTCTTCTTCACTTCTTTATTCAGTGCAGTGTACATTGAACTCAGATTCTCCTTCTGTTGTCCATCTTTGCATTGCGTCGTCGTCTCTTTCACCATCCTCCTCTCCTCTCTTCTATTAGCTTCCAGGTATCCGTTGATAGCTATACCTTGTCTTGTCTCTTCCTCCTCCCTAGAACATTTGTGCACGTTTCCTTGAATATCGCTTTCAGAGAGTTTCAATGTTCTTCCACGCAGGTTTCCTCCGTGATGCCACGTAGTGTGTCCAACTTTGCTCTGATCTGTGACAAAGGTATCCCGTGTAGTTTTGTCCTTTAGTTTCTGAATGTTTGACTTGAATTGTGGTCTGTTTCTAGTTGTTTTGAAGGATTTCAGCTTCACCTTGAAAGTTCCTAGAACTAGATGATGGTCTGAGCCCACATCTACCCCCCTTCTCGACTTTGTGTCCAGCAGACTAGCTGCGTCTCCACTTCCTTGAGCGACATTGAGATGAAGTCTATTTGGTTTGTGGTGTGTCCGTCAGACGAAACCCATGTTGTTAGGTGTATACCTTTTACTTGTACACGCTTCCTCTGATCACCAAATCGTTGAAAGCGCAGAAGTCTGCGAATAATTCTCCATTCTCACTCATTTCTCCGAGAGCCTCTCGACCCATGATGAGTTCTCTTCCTGTATTATCTGCTCCCAGTTTGGCATTCATATCGCTCATGAGGATTTTGATGTCACCATTTGAGATTTTGTCCATTACTGTTTGTGGTTGTCTGTAAAATTCCTCCTCCTTTTCTTGTTCCGCGTTGTTTGTAGGACTGTGTGCAGCACTGGATAATTGTTACCTTGCTACCTTTTGAGTTGAATCTTGCCGTCAGAATCCTGGATGAAATTGGTTCCCACTGCATTAGGACTTTGGCTGCCACTGGTGAAATCATGATGGCCACTCCCTCGGTGTGTTCGTGGCTGTCACCTGGATGACCAGATCGGAGTAGAATATTGGCTGTCCTGTTGACAATGTTGTCAGTCCACATCCATTCCATCTTCCCTGGCAGATACTCAGCACTTCTATGCCATACCTTCGCATCTCTTTGACTACCTGGACAGCCTTCCCAGTCTCGTACATTGTACGAACATTCTACGTCCCTATTCTTATTCTTGCTTTCATCGAGAGAAACATTGGCTGGCTGACTGGCTTCCCGAAGACTTTCACCAACCCACGTCATTTTGCCTCTCCGATTCGAGCGAAGAATAAGATTTTTATTTGAAGTTTTTGTATTTTTAATGTGTTTTCTGTGTGTTGAAGTTTCTCTAGCAGTTTGATACGTTTAGTGGTGTGGGTTTGCTAGCCCCACGCCCAACCCTTCCTCATTACCCGGGCTTGCGACCGGCTAGAAAACTGGCGAGCTAGCTAACTAGGCGAGGTTAGATAAAATATTAGTTTGCCATAAAAAGGCATTATCGACGCATAGGTTAGAATAAGTTTAGAATTGTTGTAAGCTTGGGATATGAGAGCATATATACACTGATTATCTTTAAAATTGTGTATACACTCAGCTACTTAATACAGTTACAAACTGGCAATCTATTCATCATTTTTGATTGATATTTTCTGATAGTTTTTGAGAAGATTATACCATAAAAGAATTGACATTTGGTGACATAAGAGTTTGTAAATGATTCCAAATATTTGATGCTGCAAACTTTGGCTGGCACCATAGAAGCTGGTTAATATTGAGGTTTATAAGTCTTGTTATAGTGAATGATACGAAATCAATCGGAATAAATATTACACATGAATTATGAATAAATGAGAATGATGAGTAAAGAAATGAGCGGAGAAGTTATTGGGCATATAACGAGTGATTTCAAGCAGTCATGTAAAAAGCACTTGTTGTAATCTGTTTAAGATTTCAACCTTATACACGTTCATTTCGCAATTACCTGAAAGGTTTTGCTGACTGTATTTAATGCTTGTACAGATCTTATTACAGATGAAATGTCAGTTGAATCTAGGCTAGAAGAAAAGTACCTACTATCTTATGGTTAGTGGTTTGTTGCACTGTAAAGTTGTGATGGCAAGATTGTAGTGTTGGTTGCAACAAATTAAAGTAACATAATAGCAGGATTTAAGACATGAGGTCATTTTACACATAGTAAAGAATTTTCACATCCTATGGAGAAAAATCCTAATTTAATTCAAGAAAAGACAGTTGATTTTTATCTCCTTTTCTTTTATCACTAAATGCACGTTCAAAAAGCTGTGTTTCAAAGTTTCAGTTTAGGGAAACCAGACACGTAAATTTACATTTACTTTTGAGTATTTACAGACACTTGTAGATTTCAGTATGCATAAAAGGTTTTATATATGTGCTTTTTTATTCGTAAAATTTCGTCTCCAGGTATGCGTATACGCTCTTCGAACACAAACAGTTATGTAACTTTGAATAAGGCATTAAGAAGACAAATTTCGCGAGATGATATCATTTCGTAGTTTCTTTACAACCGCTTTACGACTAACATGGTTAACAATAATAAAATAAAGTTCATGACAATTACTCAGTTAAATAAAAACAAAAGTACATACTAATGACCAATCATATTTAGATAGGTCGAGTAGTCCAGGGTAGGCGAAGATTGAAGTCTATTGATTTTTGTACACACAGTTTAGGCTGTATGTGATTAATCCAAAGTGCTTCCATCACCTTCAATAACCTTGAATTAGAGTTGTGTGAAATAATTGTAAAACAGTCATTAATATTGATTTTGTAACCTGACATTAATAAGTGTTTTGCAATGGATGACGCTGGATTTCTATTCAGATTACTGGCATTGGGATTTTCAATATGATTTAATAGCCATTTTGGAACATGTTCTTTCCGACGACATTGGAACATTCTGTTGGTTCTACCTATATAGGTGTCACCGCAGCTGCAGGTGAACTTGTAGATACAGTTTGAAGTAGAGTCCACAGAATTTCGTCCTTTAATCGTAGGTACAGGGATCGAAAATGTTCGGCAAGTGAGAAAAAGAGATGCGGCGTAGAATGTGCGTTTGATGGCTGACCGAAGTCTTTGAGCTGTCAACTGCATAATCTGGTCACCCTTGAATGGTAGGTTAATAAAGATAGCTTTCTTTGGTACCGAAGCTGTCTTTTCGAGATGCGGTCTTTCTTTACTGTGACAAGTGATAAAGTTTTCCGGATACCCATTAGCTAATAAAACTGAATGTATATGTCGAAACTCATCCATCACTGTGTCACTCGTGCATATTTTTCGGGCCCTTGTAACTGAAAAAAGTGTATGCGTTCACGGTGGTTTTACGATGAAAAGACTTATCCTCCTTGAGCGAAAACTGATATAATGTGTCCAATAACCCATTACTATTTATGATACGTTTCACGAAGTGAAAAAGCGGATATCATATATATATATATATATTGTGTTGGTTGTGTTTTATTTTAAGATATTTTGGTGCTGAGATTAAATTAGCCTTTATTTTGAGCAGATTATTTAATAGAGGGTTTGAATGTGCTGCTTTCATTACCATCCATAATGGTGATTCTGGCTCCCTGAGCCAATTTCAAGTTTTTAAATGGTGATTTTCTTAAGGTGTTCTGTGGCTGTATAAGCTAGCAGTGCTTGTTACTCTCTTCGCTCACCCTGTCCAACTTTCTACTTTGTAAGCCATATAAACTGACGGTGATGATTACATTTTAGATGTCCTAATTTATAACGTTTTCCCTGTCATCATTCCAGCATCGTCGGATGTTATTTTCATTCTTTCATTAACATCGTATTTTCAGATGATCTGCAACTGATGCGGACCTGTGAAATAAGATGATTCCACTTTAATATAGATTTGGCTAGAAAATTATTCTTGGTATAGACAACCCTTGTTTAAGTCTTACCGCATTCCAGAGTTTTCCCCAATTCGATCATGCTTTAAACATTCTTACCTTAAAAATGTATTATAATGTGGTTCTGTTAAGAAGTATATTTCTCCTCAATTCATAGATTTATGGATAAACCATATGACGAAATGGTTGATGTACCAGATTCTGAAGATATAGCCACACCACGCCTTCAGCAGTCATTATCTGAAACTCTTGATAAATTTCAAGGTAATTTTTTCCTGATTTTTAACTTTAAACTAAAATGTATCCCTTTGGTTTTAAGTGAAAACTAAGCCAGATGTCATAAAACAGTTTAAAAAGAATTATTATTACAAAGATCTTTGTGAAACATCGGGAAAAAGACATTGCACTTAGTTAATTTTAATTTTATTTCTTAGTACTGATATACTTATTGTAAATTTCGAACCATTCAGTTATTTTAAATAACTAATAATAAAGCGATAGGTGCTTGGATGGAACTCCAGTGGAAACACCACTCACTGAGGATGTGGATGTATCTAGTCGAAAGGTCTCACGTAGTACGAAACGTGCAAACTGCAATAAATTACCAGATACAATCAACTAAACAATATCTCAGAGAATGTTTAAAAACCTGTGTCTCAGTGAACAGTATGATCATAAAATTAAATCGGTCTATGTCAGTGTAAAATTAAGAAGTAAAATAAGAGTTATATACATATTTTTCGGCAGGAAATGAATTGATTTCAAATTATTTTCAATAAATGAAAGTAGAGAAATCAGTTGGATGTAGTTTTCCAGTTGGAATAGCCTCATAGACATTTAAAACAAGATTTTATCATTCAGTGTGTAGGGATACATACAAGCATTAGTTTATAGCTTTTTATTTAATTTTAAGATAGATTTAACTACCAATTCACATCAAGTAGGGAAACATTCGACAACTATTTCGTCGTAGTTTGGAACTTTTTGATAGTAGGCAATTATGATCTTACCAGATGTCGAACCCTGACACATATAATTTCTGCGATCAGCATGTTCAACCACTGGGTAGGAAGGAGTTTGCTGACCTGTGCATTCTGATCTCTGCCAATCTACTATATAATGTCACCATCAGCAAATGTTGTCAACGAATATCAATCTTCATGACTTGATGAACCCTCCCGGTCACGATATCACATCAGAACTCCGTTTTCAGGTTATAGTGGTCAATGGATAAATCTTAACTATTGCTTTGTAGGGATTTAATGTCGGTTCATTGCTAAATCCACTTGGAAAACTTACGTGATTAGTTTACTTATATATTTTGTCATTTGAACCATATTTTTATATTTCATGTAGTCAGTAAAATAGATCAAGGAAATTGAAGTACATTATCAGAATATCACCTGAAGAAAATGAAAGTTTTTTGAATGACTTGTTTTGTTTCTCATTTCTACATTACATCTGTTAATTTCCATTATATCAAATGTTGAATTGTCTTTACGTATCATTCTACTCTATTCCATGCATGCAGTGAAATGAATGTGCAGCTATTTATTCTCTGGGCATTACACTGAATGATTCCAGTGAACTGATGATCTGGTTATCAGCTAAGTGTAGTAGTTCAGTAAGTAAAGTGCAAGAATAATAATTCGGAGGCCACTGATTTGAACTGTGCCCCAACCCAGATTTTCCATTTCACCTCCAGTCACTGCGCATTAAAACAATTACAGTCTGTTCACTCAAGGTTATCTCAGATAGTCATACTCTCATGTCACAAAATACTTTACAATAAACATAATTTACATTTAATTATGCATAATTTAACGAATTTAGATTAAAATAAGAAAAAAGTCATTTTCAACGATTATTTGATTAGATTTCATTTCGAAATAAAATATGTCCTCACAGTTCGTTGATAATATAATGATAAGTTTATTCTGAAAAATGCGTTTATACAGAATTTAATTAGGCTAGCGTGTTGTCCTGATTACTAAAATTGTCAGATATGTATTGAATTTAGCACTGTATTGCACCAAATAAAATACTGCTTATAATATAATGTATTTACGGAATATTCTTAACATTTTCCTTAATGTTTTAATAAGATTCTCGTGGTGATAGTAATAATAAATCGTTAAGAAAAACAAATAATGAAGTAACAGGAGAACCAAATGCAGTAAGTTATTTAGTTTCCATTATCTTGTAACTTTCTAACTGTAAAATGAGATGCTACTGGCTCTCATTATCAACTATTATTATTGCTTGTTTTGTTACCCTTGATGTTCAAGTGTAGATATTTTGTCCTAAAGTTTATTTATGTACAGAGACACACCAAGATGAGATCAATACAAACAGAAATATAAACTGCTTTAAATAAAATAAAAATAAAGTGAAGTTTTTCACAACTTATAAGGTTGTGTATTATAAGTCAATAATTTGAAGAATGGAGTAAAAAATATTAAATTAAAAGTGGTCACTTCAAAAATGACATAGAACATACAAGAAAGAAGTAAACATATGGAAGAAAAGGTATAAATTAGTAAATTGAAGGAATGGAACATACTAAAGATCAAGTGTTTTTCCTTAACGGACTGCTTTTGAGCTGTGCTATCTAACATTGACTTCTGTGGACACTTATAATCTCAGAAACTCAAAAAGTAGACTATAAGTCACAAACTCATTAAGAAGGTTAGAGACTTATTGACTTATAAAGTGTTTTCATCTGATTGCCCGTATACTACTTCTATTCTTATTCAGCTAACTCAGATCATTCGATTATTAGTGGCTAGTCATTCGTAATATTCAAATATTGTTTTGCAGGGATTTGATTGGTTTCAGGATTTCATTATGGACTGATGTTGGTTGGAGGACCATTGGAAAACCTGGGAGTACTAGACAGCTGTTTCGTTCTAGTTTGGAACTCTTCACTAGTACGCACCCACTGAGGTTCGAATTGATGAAATCATTCGTAATGTTTATGAAAATACAGTAAATGAATATAGGTTTTGAATGTAGTTACCCGACCAATGAGCTTAACGTGGTACATTAGTATTTACTGGTCTAGGGCTTCACCACACATGTGAGTTTTCAAAAGCAACATTGATCAGAAACTCTGATCTCCCGAACATCATAATTCAATAGTAGCAATACTTCGCAGTTACATACTGTAATGGTAAACTGGAACAAAATATGTCTCAAAAATGACAAAGTGAAAGCTCCTTAGAAGCTTCTTTACTGGCTGACAGCAATGGTAGTTGACGAATGTGGAGGGAATAAAAAACCCTAGCTTTAGATAATAGTCATCACTTATTTTGGGTTATTAATGGGTTAGACTAAAGAAAGGTATACACAGATAATCTGAGAGAAGAATGAAGATTCAGTCATTTCTAAAGAGAGATTGGCCGAATTTTGAGGAGGATTCCAAGTGGCTTACAACCTTACTGTAGTCTAACTTCAGGCTTATTAGGAGGTAGATAGTTGTCGTTCGACTCTGATTAAGGTTAATAAAGCTGTGCATGGAGGGAGTCTTCTATTCAAAAATTTAAAACAGTCAGTTCCTTTGATAGATTTGGATAGCGTTATTAGAAGACGGAGATTATCTGAAAAATGTGATGTATTTGCGCTATACATTTCGAACAATCTGATCACACACTTACTTGTCAAGTCGATATAGATGGAAAAATTAAGGGCAATTAAATTAAACAAAGTGACAAAAAAAGATTTAAGAATGATTAACACAACGTTTGGTAATTCAATCAAATAAGGATTACCGAGGTAGGTTAAGAGTAATAATAAACTGTTTTTGAATACACAGGGAGGGCTTAAGTTTATGAATAGCTATAGCCTCAGCGTATTTCAATAAGCGGCCTTGACCATTTTTATAGATGACCTTAAAGGCTGAGTTAACATCAATCTTATGGTTCATCTCGATTAGGTGTTTAGCTATTCGTCTATACGAATTGTGGAAAACCAGAAGACGCAGGTGTCAGACTACCAACTTCATCTAAAGCTAAACACCTAATCGAGATGAACCATAAGATTGATGTTAACTCAGCCTTTAAGGTCATCTATAAAAATGGTCAAGGCCGCTTATTGAAATACGCTGAGGCTATAGCTATTCATAAACTTAAGCCCTCCCTGTGTATTCAAAAACAGTTTATTATTACTCTTAACCTACCTCGGTAATCCTTATTTGATTGAATTACCAAACGTTGTGTTAATCATTCTTAAATCTTTTTTTGTCACTTTGTTTAATTTAATTGCCCTTAATTTTTCCATCTATATCGACTTGACAAGTAAGTGTGTGATCAGATTGTTCGAAATGTATAGCGCAAATACATCACATTTTTCAGATAATCTCCGTCTTCTAATAACGCTATCCAAATTAATAAAGCTGTCTCTAATATAAAACAAGGTAGAAAATCATGACTTGATGGTACGCATTCAAAAGTGTTTAAGGATGGATTATTTGCCAAATTGATTTAAGTGCTAGTTACTCTACTGGAATCCATATAGCTGTATTTGAGTAGTGTAGTTTGTTGCACATCCCAGTTTGTGAAAAAGACAAATATGTATGTGGTGGACAAGGAGGCATCACTTCAACTAAAATAATATCTAGGGTCCTGAGGTTCTTGATCACTCAAAGACAAAGCATTGTTATGTTATTGTCATTCCCTTGGGTTTAAAGTGAAACATAGGTATTCAACAGCACAACTCCATTCTACCCTTTTCTCTGAAGTTGTGTTTGGCTGGCCTCACGATTGCCCATAGTCTGTAGTCTCATCCTCACACAATCTCCCCTACGTCACCATCGGATGCTCCATTCGTTGTTTCCTATTCGGGTTCCACTCGACAGTCTGACGCGCGATGTCACCCAATGGTCTCCTTAGCATGTGTCCAACCCATCTCCATTTTTTCGGAATGTTCGTTGAGCAATAGTTTCTTGGTTTGTTCGCTCCTAGAGTTAATTGTGGCAAATTATTTCTGGCCATTTAATTTTCAATACGGAACGAAGACAGATATTGATAAAAGTCTGCACTAGCCTGTTGGAAATGCTTATCGTGGTGAATCAATTCTATGACCCGTACAGAAGATGTGACTTAACATTGGTGTTGAAAATTCGAGTATTATTCTTTATACTGATTGAGGAAGATTTCCAAACTGACTTCAGAGTGGTTGGGGTATGTCTTACGTTTCCAATTCTGCTCTAGACATCCTCATCCATGACTTTTGCCTGTAGTTAAGACGATGCTTCCTAGATAAGTGAAGAAAGTGGCCTCTTTCAAATTTCTTTCGTTGATAGTGATTGGTGCTTGTTGCTATTCAGTTATTTTCATAACCTCCATCTTCTCTAAATCCAATTGAAGTCCTATCTAATCTGCTTCTTCCAAAAATTTATTGGCTTTCTCCTGTAAGTCTTTGAGTTTAAGTAACATCAGACGATCATCGGCGAAGTCCATATCTTCTAGAGTCTTATCGGTCCAACGTATTCCTGTCTTCTCACTCCCCACAGTCTTCCGCATGGTCCAGTCCAACACAATCAGGAATATCATGGGTGATTTTAAACAACCTTGTTTTAATTCTTGCTTTCAATTCCAAGCACCAAGTGAAACTATGAACAAAAATTTGTCACATATGAACGAGGGTGTACTGATAAAAAATTTACGCTTTGGTGGCTTTTGTAAAACAGACGTAGGGTTTCTGTACTTGTCACTATTTCTTCACTAGGTAGTGGTGTTAGATTCTGTCGTTTGAAAGGTAGCATTTCAACATTTTGAATTGATGGAAATGCCGAAGAAGTATTCTGCATTAATCAAGGCACTCTACCCAAATTCACTCAGTTTTATGGACAATTAGCGTCCTAAGGGATGACATGCAGTTTTTCCCCATCGAGTATATTTTGGTACTAAGAACTGGCATATATCCGCACACGGTTTGAAGATAGGGAGCGAAATAGTTGATTGTGTTGACCACTTAACTTTTTAGGGAAGGTGCATCTGTCCTAGTCGACTGGTCGCTTAGGAAATCTCAGCACAGCTGCAAAAGTCGCTTCAAACATTTGCCTACTTGCATCATTCTTGAAGCAGATGTGGTTTTTGGCTACCAAAGGAGAGGTGCTTACAGAGCATTATATTTTTTTATTCTGCATCATGCTCCTGAGTTATGGCCACTGGAAATACAGGATATGAAAAACTAAGAGGCGTTTATTGTTTGACAGATTCTCCAGTTGCTCGTTTTAAAATGATAAGTGGTGATAAGTTTGGATATAGATGGTTTGGTCAATATGAGTAATTTGACCAACAAGATATTGAGAGAGAACACGTTTCAAATATACATATAGGGAGTTACAGGCTGCTATAAATATCCTGATTTGGATTTGGAAGATGCTAAAATTAAATGGTTTGAGGATCTTTGTGTTATGTATGAAAGTTTTTCACTAAGACTCAGACTTATTGACTCCTTTCTCTCTTCCAGATTCTTAATTATATTATTAATCTTAATCCAATTTTCATTCCTGTTACATCCATTTTTGTATATTTTAGTCACACTACTTAATTATTTTTTCATTTGCAAAATTGGCCTTTCTTCCTTTATCGTACGTATTAAAGGAAAGCGTAAAGAAGATCTAACTGCTAGCCATATTTTTTGTTCATGTTTTTCTATAACTAATAAAGTACTATCATGGTGATTATATTACAGTGTCCAATTGATTTGGGGACTTAATTACACAGATTGTCTAAAGCACTTCACATAGATTTATATTTATATGCTTAATTGCTTAATTTAAAGACTAGACATGTTCTTTATTTATGACTGTTAGCAAATGACTCAAGCAATTCGATGGGTCATCAAGGTATTCCAATAGATTTATTCGCTGAACTTAGTTCTGTTTAAATCCTCATGAATATGTAACAAATGTAAAAATATGCGAGATAATTTCATTTGAGGAATTACAAATTCTGATTAGAAAAACTTCTAGACACATGTTATCAGAAATTCTTTGTCAATAATTTAGGTGTATAATTTTTAACAAATTGTAATGTAAATCTAACTGTTTTCAGATTCTAACTGTAAGCCTAAATGGTTTAGTTTGTTAAACACAAACACATTTGTTTTTGCTTAATTTTGTATTGTTTTCTTTCAGAATGTGTTTTGTTTAATTAGTGTTGACAGTATAATGTCTGAAATATAAAACATCCGTGGTTTGAGATTTAGCATAAACTTACAGAGATTGTATGATAACTATTGTGAAGAACATCAGGCGAATTATATATGTCCTGCACTCAATATTTCAGGGCGCTAAAAGTGCACATGTTTCTAGATATGAGACCGGGATGAAAACTGTACCGTGTTAGTTACTTTTCACTGTTTATTTTTAGATAATAAACACTTCTGACTAAAGTTTTATTAAGCTCACTTACTTGCATAGTATGTCCTTTTATATTTAACATTACTATCATAATAAAGATAGTGAGCTAGTGTGACAAATGTATAAATATAGCACTGGTTTATGGATATATGAGTACTGTAGGTACCTAGTCCTAATCTTCTTAATAAAAATTCTTCTTTCAGGTGTAAGTACATTATAGTCACGAAGGGTAGCAATAAAACACTACTGTGCACTATTCTACACTTTAATTTATTAACAGATATTGGAAGGAATAAACCAGTTTAGCAACATAGATTATCATCTAGAGGATAGCCTGGATATATGGTCCACTTCTACCACTGCTCAACCATAAGATGAATTAATTAATCGTAAAATCTATGACCTAAACAATGAGTAATTTTCAGTTTAATCTATGGAGCATACGGGTTTTTCTTCGCTCTGTAGGACACCTGTAACTGATAACTCTCAACAGGCTGAAAATCTGGGTTGACTCCCAGCATTTAATACCTGTGCAAATATTCATGCACTGGACGTAGAAAACGTGCAATATTTATAGGGCCTAATGATTTTTAACCATCAAAATGAAATGTTATAGGCGAAGAGGGATTGGAAACTGTAATTTGTCGTTTCAGTTTCCAACTCATCAAATAATAAAGAATAATCTGGTTCCCATCAACAGTTTGATATATCTACGTGCTATGCGCCTAAAAATAGTCCAGAAGTTTTTATTTCACTTCTTTTTATCAATTTTTATGTCAACTTTAGAGTTAAAATTATTTTCTTCACACAAACAAAAGATTAAGTAAAAAACAAATATTCGTATTATTAATTCGAGTTAATGTCTATCATTTAGTTATTATTTTAAATAAAAGTTTACATTCTTCATCAGATAAGCTTTTACGAAGTTTCTGATTTGGTCTACTTCTAAAGACTTGTATTGTCAGTTGTTTTGTCTCGGTTAAATGATCATTGCACTAATTGATAATCCACAGTAATCATAGTGTGTTCTGTGTTTCCTCAGGAAAATAATATGGGAATCAGGCTAAAGGGAAGTTCACTTAGCTGCTTAGGAATGAAATTTGAAGGTAATTTAAACCATGGGCATGCATGGTTGACAAATCTACTGGAACATTACTTCATTAAACAACACTTCCATCCTCACTTCAAAATCAAAGATGTTTGTATTTAATTCCACATGGCACTGAACTAGGCAAGTTAAGATATTGCCACGGAAATTTTCACATACAGTCAGTAAGTTAGACAACAATGAAAACTACTCTCAGAAGTGCAGCCTATCACTTATGCAGCAAAGTCATTATACAAAATCATCGAATAGTATGTCTTCAAGTCCACTCGTGCGTTAGCACTCCTGGACCGCTATTTTTTAACCTAGTAAGTTAAGATTATTCAAGGAAGCGGATTAAGGACTTATCTAACTAGTATTGCTGAATTAAAAACTCCAAGAAAGTGCATGCGAATGGTACAATGGAACAGCACAAAAATGGCGTTCGAGCTAGTTCGTATATGTACAGGTTGAAACACAAACTTAAAAAATGGGAACGTGCTCGACATTTGAATCGCACATTTTCTGTGTTGGAATTTGAACGCATTCCTAATTTTTTAACCAAAAAATTAAGAAATCAAACAAATAACGAAAGCATCACCATTAAATAACTACTCAGTAGAATTTACCCAAAAAATGTATTCAAACACATAAGAAAAATAGGAGCAGTAGTGTAGATAATGACCATTGTATGAATAATAAGGAACTGAAAGCCTCAGCAGTACTTCCATATAAGGAAGGAGGGTCAAAAGCTGTTTGTACGATTTTTAACAAGGTTGGAATTAGGGTACTATTTAAACTGACTAACTCAGACATAAACAGTGTCGACTTAGGCATTTAATAAAACCACTTAGGCAAAATAATATAATTTCTCAAATACCATGTAATGACGGTGAGGTCAGTCATATAGGTCGGACAGCTGGGTCGATATCCGCTATTACAACACAGGAGTTTAGCCATGTCTTAAATAACTAATCCCTCTGGGTTAAACTTGGTCATTGTTGTACACTCACTTGCAGTCCTACAATACGGTGGAATAATGTGAAAGTATTTATAAGTAATAGAGTTAGGTGGAGAGAATGGTTAATCACTTCACCTGTGTTCATCGAGTCAACACCAAGCATGTGCAAAAGAAATGGTGCAACACCTATAGTGACTATACTAAAAATTGCTTTAAAAAGCAGGAGAGAGTACAGTTATATAAATCAAGTCACCGAGTAATGTAGATACAACAACATGATTATGAGCTATAGATGGTATCCAAAATGTAATCCAGTTATTAACATTGTATCACTGTACGTTATATGAAATAAGTATGAAATACCTAATGCGGTACCACTCATTTGCACAATAGCTTAACAAAATCCTAGTTAAAGGATATGATGTCAGTAAAAAGTTTGAGCATTGTGGAATAGATCAAATAAAGACCTGTTTCGAAGGCAGATCTCGTATCTCAGGTGGAGGAATGTTGGGTTAATAATCTGAAGACAGTAGGTTTTATCATTGCCGCAGTTCATGTTTTACTTCACCACTAATCATAGTTCGTCAAGTAAATATAGTTTCAGTTTTTCCGTGGTGTTAGTTTTTATCAGATCCCATCAAAAAGATGAGCATTACATCTTGAATGAAAACATTTCAGTGAAAGTTAGTTCATCTAAAGATAACAAAGTGAACGTAATAACCTCCTCAGCCATAATAGTCGTAAAACAATGATAAAATAAATTAGACGTATAAAGATATGTAGTGATGGCAATGGCATGAAGATAACCCCTCAATTTATTGACACCTACATTATCTAAGTTCATATTATATAGAGAGCGATGAATATTTTCCAATGTGTACATAATCCAGACAGAATGGTAGTAAAGTACCTAATCTACATTAGAATGCTGAAATATGAATACTCGGGTGTGATATATGATTCAATCACCTCAATGAGTACAGGTTATCGATCATCATAAAGTAGTCTCCGGAAATAATAAGATAGTTTAGCTGTATATTAATAATAAAATTACTTTTTGCATCATTTGCAAATACTCTTAAGTTTTTTCTAAATGTTATAAACATATTCGACTAAAATCATCCACCTGAGCTACAAATCTCCATCATATCTATATTCGACTAACCTTGAAATTTAAGTCTTCTTTATACCTTTATTATTTTTATTTGTTTAAAATTGTATGTGGAAATATTTCTATTTACTTTTAGGCTGCACCGAAATCCGTTATTGGAATGAAATCGAATAATGCTAAAATAAGTGCTCTAGGTAGGTTTATGTATGAACTATGATTTTTTAAAATAAATTTTAATCAACAAAATGTTGTCAAAACAAGAAGAACAAACTAAGTATTATTAGATGTGCAGACTTTATTTTGAGGCTTCTATTCGAATAAAGACAGCCTAAAATATACATAGGATTGATGAAATGGGAACATAGGTCTTTTTATTCTATTTAGAAGAGTTTAGCATGAGGGTGAGATATACTAACATAATCAGTTATAAGTAACACGAAGAGGAAGTTGTTACTTGTCACAAGTTTGGAAGAATACTAGAGAAGTTTTAGTGGTTGATTCAACAATAAAAAACACCGATGAACTAGTAACACGGGAAAAAATGTTTACGTAATAAGATACAGTTAGCATTCAGAAGCGATTTGAAAACAGTTGAATTAGTATCAGCGAGTAGAAAAGTGAGATTCATGAATAATACAAATTCAAGAAAAAATGAAAAAGCGAAACAAGTAGTTCCGAGAAGAAGCTCTTCTCAGCAAATTCATTTTTTGCAGCTGTACAATAGTATTTATACACAATCTTGTAACAAAGGAGATGAGTTGTTATAATCGTAGTCGCTAATATTGATTAATACATAAGGGAAGTTGAACAAGGGCTTTGGAATTACGTATTGAGATGTACAATTTGATGAATAAATTGTAGTCAGAGTGAACATAGAAACGAGGGGAAAATGTGATACTACGTAAGAATTCGTAAGAAACAGACGAGCTAGAAAAGAATAAAAAGCAAAAAATCCCATGTTGCTGGGAAACAACGGATAACTTCCATGAAATTAGAAGCGGTTGAATATACAGAGCTCCTGTGTTTTGCATCTGCATGGCTAGCGCTTCAGAAATTCAAATGAGGCAAAGGAGTGGTATCTTGGGTAGTTCGCTCTTCACTTTATAACGTGGCTCCACAGGAACAGGTCAACTGATATATATATATATATATATATATGTATAATAGAACTTGAAAAATACCAAATAATTCTTTTTTCTGTGTACATAGTAAACTGTGGCTACACAAAGTTCTAAATAAACATTGATAGTTTGGTGTATTATTTTTTTATATTTTTGATTACAGCTTGATTCCACACCGTATTTTTTGGTACATGGAATTTTCAGCATGTGATATCGGTAGCCCAAATTTTGCAGGCCGACCACTGATATCAAGTGTGAGTCGGCAGGGGATCAAACCCCGGACCATGTGCATGGTCTGCGAGAGTCCTAACCACTGTGCCACCGACGCTACAGTAATGCTACAGTAATTTTTGCATATTTTTAAAAGTATGCTAATGAAGGTTTCTTTGAACTGAATGACTATTGTGGTAAATTCCTTTCTTTGTCATGCATGTCATTATTATTATTATTATTACTGTAACTAGAAAGTTCTGATGATGATGACGATGATGACGAAGAGGAAGATGATGACGATGATGATGATGATGATGACGAGGAGGATGATGAAAATGCCAATCTTCAAGATACAATTGAAGGGTATGTTGAATGGGAAAATATTATGCATATATAAAATATACACAATTTATGTGAGAATCTGACAAAGTTATTATAATTGTAGTAATAATAAAGCCTGATCTCAAGACCTGAAAATCCTGGATTAGGTTCCTGTTGGGATCATAGGTGCGCACTGTCGAATAGTCCCGGTCTAGGACAGGACATCTGTCCAATGCTCCCTGGTTTTCAGTAATCTCTAACTGATGTCTGATAGTGATGAAATCTAAATTCTTAAAAAAACCCATAATCTAAATGATGGATTTATCCTGAAACAGGTTTCATTTACAATAGAGAAATTCTTAGTATGTTAAAAAAGCATTAAAAATAATCAGGAGTATACCATTTTTGCAAATAAATATTAAGACTTTTTTCTTGAGAACTTAAAAATTAGTGAATCATGTAGCTGAAGATTGTAGAAAGTGCGAAGTGAGCTAAACCTTAGTCATACGAATATGTTCATTCTTGAAGAATTCTTTCAACCATATGACATCCACTTCCCCATTGACTACTTTTGCCTTTACCAAGTATGCAACTGAACCAAAAGAATAATTAGTAAAAAGTAACAAAATGAAATACCAGGTTTTTACGGTATACTTATATCTATAATATATACATCCATCAACTGCCATAATGCAACAGAAGTTCAGTGATAGAATGCTCGCCAGCTATGCAAGCGGTCCGATTTCGCCACCCGCCCTACGCATTCCTAAACTTCATAAATAATCTGTATCGATACAATAATGAAAACAAAACACGTCGTTCAGCGAAGTGTCTTTTCGACGAATTTATTCACTTAACTGTACAATCGCAATTATATATACTTATTATTGTATGTATGCGTACATACTTAAGTTAGGATTATTGTTGTCAAGGTATTTCTAAACATATCAAAACATTCTTAAACCTCACCTTGCTAGGCCATAGTAAGTTTAGAAAAGAGGGAAGATTGTGGGTAATGCTAGCAACTCTACCGCGTAAAAACAACTGAAACCTCAAAAAGTAGCTTTAAGCCCTATGTTCCCTAGGAAAGCGAGTAGTTAAGAAAAGAACAAACCATCATGTTGTTTATTGTGGTCGGGAATGAAAAGAATCTACCTATTATGCAAACTTTATTTTTATAAGTAAAAATACTTGTTCAGCGAAGAAATTTCTTTTCAACGACTTCATTTTCAAGTTGTACAGTCGTATTTATATTACAGAAAAAGTTATTAAATGGCACTAAATAATTGCTCAGTCAATATACATATATAAGTGATAAGAATAACGATAATTAAAATGTCATAAGGGGTAGAGTTGAAGTGGATGAATTACAAAATTATTAAAGATTGTTTTATAAGTGAATTGATATCAAAAATTTTTTTAATGTCAAGCGTTGTCTAAGTTTTAAAAATTAGGAGTACGATTACGATAAGAATAAAGATGTGAAGTGAAGTGGAATGAATGCAAGTGGTAAAATAAAATAAAAGCTTGAAAGAACATTACTATGACCAAGGTAAAGAAAGGGGTTTGACGTAGTCCTTCCGACACTTTTGACTTTCAAATGTTGGTTTGTAGGGATTTAATTTTGACTTTGTCAGTTGCGTTGATGAAATTAATGTGACCCGTAAGCATATAATTTCGTTAGATGTTTGTTCATTGTTCACAAATGTACCACTAGTAGACACTATCTGCTATCTATGCGAGTATATTGATTGAAATAGCATGAACATCGGCTTACCAACTGAATATCTTAAACAACTATTATTAAGATGCACACTGAATGTGCAATTTAGATTTAATGAAGCCATCTACAATCAAAGGGATAGAGTCGCCAAGGGGTCTCCTTTAGGATTGCTCTTAGCGGATGTCTTCATGGCAAGCTTAGAGAACGGCCCACTAAAGGAAACCAATGAGAGTTTGTTTATGTTTAAAAGATATATAGCTGATACCTTCATTGTCTGTGAGGAAAATTCTTCAACTGCCGAACTTCTTGGAATATTTAATGGCTCTCACCCATCTTTGCTTTTCACGGTCGAAGAGGAGTCGAATTCCTCGTTCCACTTCCTTGACGTTAAGCTAGATAGAAGAGAGAATGAAACACTGTTAATTCCATCATGGATAAGATTTTATTTTGATAAATCACACAGTGTTGTACAGTAATAATAATAATACTTGATATGATTATGAGCAATAGTTTATGCTCGAAACGTCATCAGTTATTATTACTGTACAACACTGTGTGATTTATCAAAATAAAATCTTATCCATGATGGAACGCTGTTAAGTTCGATTTACCGAAAGCCAACATTTACTGGGCAGTACACTAACTTCAACAGTTGGGTACCTTTAGGGAGAAAGAGAAATCTTATTCATTCCTTATGCTCCAGAATTCGTAAAATCTGCTTTACAGAGACAATCGATAGTGAACTAGATAACCTTCAATCAAATCTCCTTAACAATGGATATCTTACAAGGTTTATTGAACGTAACATCAAGAAAGAATCCGCCCCTAGACAAATCACAACGCCAAAAAAAACTGATTATTAGTCTTGCATTCAAAGGTGACACCATTTCTGAATTGATTAAAAATCGTTTATCTAAATGTATTAAACACACTTTTCTTGCAGCTGACTTGCAAGTAGTTTTTACCAGCCGAAATATGATCAGACAATGTGTCAAAGATAGACTACCGCTTATGTCCACATCTATGTGTATTTACTATTTTACCTGCTCCTGTGGAGCTGATTATATTGGACGTTGTAAGCGTACTCTCCGAAAACGTGTAGCTGAACACTATCCGGTTTGGTTAGTGAAAGGCGAACGTAGAACTGCGAAGTCGTCTATTTGTGATCACCTGTTAGAGTCTGGTCATTCAGCCCCACGTGATTCATCTTTCAAGATTATCTACATGGCAAAATCGAATCGCTTCAAAAGTTTACGTTTTCTTCACTTATGCATAGCCGAAGCTATAGCCATACATGAACAGAAACCTAAATTATGTGTTCAAAAACGTTTTGTCAAACCCCTTTCTTTACCTTGGTCATAGTAATGTTCTTTCAAGCTTTTATTTTATTTTACCACTTGCATTCATTCCACTTCACTTCACATCTTTATTCTTATCGTAATCGTACTCCTAATTTTTAAAACTTAGACAACGCTTGACATTAAAAAAATTTTTGATATCAATTCACTTATAAAACAATCTTTAATAATTTTGTAATTCATCCACTTCAACTCTACCCCTTATGACATTTTAATTATCGTTATTCTTATCACTTATATATGTATATTGACTGAGCAATTATTTAGTGCCATTTAATAACTTTTTCTGTAATATAAATACGACTGTACAACTTGAAAATGAAGTCGTTGAAAAGAAATTTCTTCGCTGAACAAAAAACTGTGTTTTTGCTTATGAATAAATGGGTATTTTTCATGATTTAAAAACTTTATTTTACCATCGCGAAAAATAGCGATTTGCAGTGACACACCTCTGTGCAAGATTTCATACTGATTTCCCAATCATTTTGTTTTCATGAACATATGGGAAAGAGGAAGACCCATTTTTTCACTACTTAATATGATTTTTAGTTTTCTAACGTACATTTCTAATACCATAATGTTCAGTTGAAATATTTAAGGAATATGAAAACATGAATAAAGTAGTGTGTGCAGTTCCGATCATATAAAATATTCATTTTGATATTCATTTATATTTTTGACTTGAAAGACAAATTCAAATTTCACTAGACTTAGAAAATAAAAACATAAGGTGATACTCAACTCTAGATTTATGACAAAAAAATTGTTGATTACATCATCCTGTAAATGAAGTTATGTTTCTTTTGAACAAGAATTTCTCTTCATAAATAATAACAGCATTACAATTTGTGGATATTATCACGAGTAGCAGTAGCATTTCGAATGGGCTTCAGGCTTTAAATTTTCAGTAGCTAAGGGGTTGTTTTCACTAAGTAGGATTGCTTGTATCACGCCTAACCTTCACACACTTTCGAGTTTACTGCCAGCTAGTAATTTAGACAGAGAAGAAAAGTGAGTCGGCTAGAAATTGAACACTGATCAGTCTGATGGTTACGAAGCACCCTACCATGTAATTATCGACGCTTGTCACTAGAGAGTATAAACAAATTTAAAAGTTACCGTTATTTGCTGACTTAATTTCTCTTTGCTTTTTAGTGCATATAATCCAGCCGATTTTGAACATTTGTCTGTTTCATCTGAAATCAAAGAAATTTTTGGATATATTCAAAGGTATAACATTTTTATTTATAAATATGACACTTCCTACATTACATAAAGATATACACCACAGACTATTGAATTAGAAACAAAGTTGAAGCCATTTATTCCAGATTATATGCCAGCTGTTGGAGATATAGATGCATTTTTAAAAGTTAGTCAATATGTATTTTGGTTAACTGTACTTGACTGTGATATTATTATTGTTGTTGTCACTTGTAACCCTTATTGCTGTGAATTATTTTCCTGTGCTGGTGTTGTTCTGATTGTTTTATTCCTTGTTTTCCTGGTTTTAAGGGGAGCAACCCACAAGATCGCTTCTCTCTAAACTATATTTTAGTGTAACAATCCCCTTCTCAAGCGTGAGGCTAGCAACCCCCCCCCTGTAAACAAAGTTGCTACAGAAACTTCAGTACGATGAATCTCCTTGCGCCAAAAGGAAAAGTCTGTGTGGGGACATGGAATGTACGAGATTGGCAAAGCTGCCCAGATTGCAAAAGAAATAAAAAGATACGGAATTCAAGTACTGGGGATATGTGAAAGCAGATGGAACGGGAATGGACTCACCAAATTGTCGACGGGTGAGTCAGTGATCTACTCCGGTCACCCAGAGGATAACCACATGCACACCGAGGGCGTGTCTATCATGATGTCACCAACGGCAACGAAGGCCCTGATACAATGGGAGGCGATCTCGCCCAGGATGATGACCGCCAGATTCAACTCCAAAGGAAGGAAAGTGTCAGTTATACAATGCTATGCACCGACAAACAACGCAGACCTCGAAAAGAAAGAAGAATTCTACAGACAACTACAGGCAACAATGGACAATACTCCAGTCGGCGACATTAAAATACTAATGGGAGACATGAACGCCAAACTGGGATCAGACAACACAGGAAGGGAACTCATCATGGGTAGAGAAGCTCTCGGAGAAATGAATGAAAATGGAGAACTCTTCGCCTACTTCTGCGCCTTCAATGAACTAATGATTGGTGGCAGCGTATACAAGCATAAGGATATCCACAAGGCTACATGGGTGTCACCAGACGGGCGAACCAAAAACCAAATTGACTTCATCACAATCTCGAGGAAGTGGAGGCGCAGCCTACTGGACACGAAAGTAAGAAGAGGAGCAGACGTCGGCTCAGACCACTACCTCGTACAAGGGACAGTCCAAATCAAATTAAAAGCTTTCAGAGAAACAGGAGCTGCAGATAGACCACAAGCCAAGTTCAACACTCAAAAACTGAAGGACCAGGACACAAAGGACATCTTCACTGCAAGCATAAAGGGCAAAGCCGAGACACAAATCAACACTAGCGTAGAGGCCAGTGTCGAAAAGCACTGGAACAACTTGAAAACAGTGTGGAGTCAAACCTGCATGGAAGTTCTAGGCAGAGAGAAGAGACAGGACAAACAGTGGCTCACTACGCACACTTGGAGACTAATAGAAGAGAGAGGGATGGTGAAACAAAAGATTCTCCAGTGCACCGACGAGCAACAAAAACGGGATTCAAATGCAAGTTACAATACACTGAACAAAAGAGTAAAAAAGAGTGCCAGAGAAGACAAAAGTAAATATTATGAAGCCATGGCAAGTGACGCAGAACAAGCTGCAGGCAAAGGAGACCTCGCAACACTCTACCAAACAACTAGGTACCTATCGGGCAAAAGTTCGACACAAATTAAGCCGGTGAAGGATGACAATGGAAAGTCACTCACCAAAGAAAGTGGAGCAAAGAAAACACTGGGCTGAACACTTCAAAAGACTTCTAAATCGACCACCACCTACAACGCGCCCAACAATACCAACAACGGAGACAGAGCTACCAGTGAACACCAACCCCCCGACGAAATCAGAAGTCCTGAAGGCAATCAAGATGCTGAAAGCTGGAAAAGCAGCAGGACCAGATGGAATCCCAGCAGAAGCATTGAAAATGGACCCAAAGACAACAGCGGACTTGATGACGCCACTACTGGAGAAGGTGTGGAAAGAAGGCAAAGTACCCGAGGATTGGAAGAAAGGATACTTATTCAAACTACCAAAGAAAGGAGACTTAAGTCAATGCAAGAACTGGCGCGGAATTATGCTCCTGTCCATCCCAAGCAAAATACTAAGCCGCATCATCCTGGAGAGAATCAAACATGCCCTGGATGAAAAACTTCGACCGGAACAGGCTGGATTCAGGAGAAACAAGTCATGCATTGATCAGATCGCCACATTACGGATCATCATTGAACAAAGCTTGGAGTGGCAGTCACCTCTCTATCTCAACTTCATCGACTTTGAAAAGGCCTTTGACAGCATCGATCGAGAGGTGATTTGGAAACTACTTCGCTACTACGGGGTGCCACTGACAATAATACATCTCATCCAACAGCTATACGACAATGCTGCATGCCAAGTAATCCACAACGGGAAACTTACGGAACCCTTCGAAGTGAGGACAGGAGTAAGACAAGGCTGCCTACTATCGCCAATGATTTTCTTGATTGCAGTAGACTGGATAATGCGACAAACAGTGGGCAATGAGGAAACAGGCATAAAATGGACACACACAAAAAACTTGGAGGATCTGGACTTCGCCGATGATATATGTCTGATTTCCCACAAACTGGAAGATATGCAGGTGAAAAGCAACAAGTTAGCAGAAGAAGTATCAAAGATAGGACTTCAGGTGAACATAGAGAAAACAGAGGTGATGAAGATTCCTGGACAACACCACCAACAGCAACAACAACAGACAACAATCAGCATAAATGGGAGGAACCTGAAACAAACAACCTCCTTCACCTACCTGGGAAGCATCGTCTCAACTACAGGCGGAACTGACGAGGATATCAAAGCAAGGATCGGGAAAGCAAGACAAAATTTCATTTCTCTCAAGTCTGTATAAAGATCAACAGAACTCAGCATCAGAAATAAGATCCGAATTTTCAACTCCAATGTGGAATCAGTGCTATAATACGGATCAGAGACTTGGCCAGCGTGTCATAAAGAGCGTTTCAAACAAACTACAGACCTTCATTTGCTCAATACTCAAGATCAGATGGCCGGTCAGAAAAGATCAGCAACAGAGATCTCTGGGAGCGAACGAACCAGGAACTGATTTTGAAACAAATAGGCAGGAAGAAATGGAGATGGATTGGCTGGCCATACTCTGAGGAAACCATCAAGTGACATCACTAGACAAGCCATCGCTCGAGTGGAACCCGAAAGGGAAGCGGTGGCGAGTTGGTCGTCAGTGCAAGGGTGACTTGGAGGAGGTCATGTGAAGAGGAGATGAAAAGGTGTGGGCAGACTTGGAGCCAGGTGAAGACTCTTGCAGAGAACCGAACTCAATGAAGACTCACGGCTGAAGCTCTATGTTCCTCTAGGAATTAAAGGAAACAATAATAATAATGTATGTCACAATGTGTTTTTTGAATATTTAAAGAATTTTGTAGCTAAACCACGTAACAATACAACCGATTTGTAAAGTAGTTTCTTAGTATTAATTATTTTCGGTGTTTTAAATATATTTTACGTAATACTTCAAAAGTGTTAACTTGATTTATGTATCACCTTTATTGTTAAATTGTTATCTCAAGCGTTGCTTACAGACCTACAATAGACACTCCATCTATACAAACGTTGAATGTCAATGTTTACGTTTTCATTACTCATTTTCTGAGGTGGAAAAATGATCCAGGCATGCTATAGTTTCTATGATGTCACCAATGACCATGAGTGCTTAAGGTAAAAGAGTACCTAACGAGGAGGCAACAACTGTCCAGTGCTCTCTAGTTTTCAATAATTCCCAAACTAATATCTATTCATAGCAAAATCTGTATTGAAATCAATTATATAACTGTAAGTTCAGCACCGGAAATACTCTCTTTTGTGCTGGACAATTAAAGTAGTATTGAATATCTACACAATAATGTCTTAAAGTATCCTGTTATAAGAAAATTATCAACTTTTCAAATGAGATCTAAGGTAATAAGTAAAATGAATCAGATAAGTAATAACATGAAAGCCTTTACTGTATAATTGACTTTTTTCTCTAAATATATATATACGCCTTTTTTCTGACTTAATTGTGTATTGTGCAGTTAAGCATATATTCAAGTAGTGTCTTAATTTGATAAAAAAAAATCTTTTTTCAAGTGTCGTATGCAGAAAATTTTAATAGACTAAACAGCCAGTAAACAAATAACTTGTCAACTTAAAACTAATTCAATCATTTTCCTCATGAAAAAAAGATTTATTATTGTTTAAGTATTAATTTCAAATCATAAATTTAGTTTAGCTCAAACAACTTTTGGTGGTACTTACACGATCTTTTTTTAAAAAACATCAGGTTCCAAGACCAGATGGTAAACAGGATCACTTAGGTTTACTAGTTTTGGATGAACCATGTGCTAATCAGTCCGATCCTACAGTACTCGATTTACAACTAAGAGCATTATCTAAACAGACGACATCAAAACAAGTAGTAAGTTTAAATCCTCAATGGTATTTGTTAACCTAAGAAAGTAAATATTTAATTTTTTTAAAGCTGAATTCATGCGACACTATTGGCTAAGAAATATGGAGACTATATTGTTTCAATAACAGTAATGAATGAAAAGAAGCCCAATGAATGAATAATTACACTGCATATGACTGTCAGGGAAATCTCTGAATGATACTTTTAGGGAATATGTGTGCATCAAAACTTATTAAACTAACAGAAATCATTTAGCATTAACACTAATATCTAGACAAATGACATGGCTTACTTCCTAGTGATCAATCAGTGTATCCATTATAGTCTTGCAGAAGGTCAGTCGTAAACCCGAACAAATAATAATTTATGTCTATAAATGCAGTGCTAAGAATCTCCGACAAGCATTGATTAAATCCTTCGAGGTTGCATATCCACTTTGCTGATGAGTACTAATAAGCATGAAATTCAGGTCAATGACTTCCTGCTGATTGTTTCCAGTCCCCTAACTTCGTGATCACATTGCAAACTTGTCTGTCAGAATTCAATCAGCTTCAGGAGTAAGGAATAGACACAACGTTGGTTACTTCCCATTCGCAAATAAATACACCGTGAAAAGTATTATATTTGTCCCCACCTTACACCATACTAGTCTGTTTTTATTGTAAAAGAAATGAAATATCTTATAATATCTGGCGATCAATATTTAGGAAAGTAGTCCCAAAAGTACTCAGATTTTATATGCTTAACTAGTGTGCATCAAATACCATGTCATATCTGCATCACTATAATATTGATTATGGTGTCAATTGTTTACAAGAAATGCTTGGGTAAACCGTAGGGATGATTTATTTCACCAAGAATTTAATTTTTGATAGACAGAAAACAGATGAGATCAAGATGTATTCGGTATACAAAATTATAATGAACGCAATTTATAGCTGTACAATCGTATATATATGCATATATATATATATATATATATATATATGCACCTCCCAGTTTGGCTGAGCAAATGAGAACACAGAGGTATTAATTCATAGATATTACAGCATATTGTAGATGCTGACCACGCAGCATCTGACACGTTGTTTAATATAGTCTACAAAGTTTGCCGAAAGGCACACGAGTGTATCTGCTTTGGATAACAGAGGCTTTGGCAAAAGCCAAAAAAACAATTTCTACGATCTCTTTCGTTACTATGGTCTTCATTTTACTATGTAATTCACAAAACAACTTTGTTATCCTTCTTTATTCAGTGTGCCATTTTTGTTTCATTTCATGTTACTTTATATTATCATATTCTAACATTTTATCTAGTCTACTACATTGACAGCAATTTACTCATCCTTTGTCTCCACCGTATTATGTTCACATATTCACATTTGCTAGTGTACTTTATTTTTTGATCATCTATTTCACATTAGGTTGGCCTCTATTTATTCAGTTATTCATTCATATTTCTAATCCCGTGTGACTCATAATCCTATACACCAATATCATCTCATTTTAGTATTTCCACTCACTGTCAAACTTTATATATATATATATATATATATTGTACAGCTATGAAAATGAAGTCGTCGAATAGAGGATTCTCTTCGCTGAATTCTGTGTTTTTATGTCTCAATGGGGATTATTAATTTTTAAAATTCCCATTATTAATATTAGAATAAGAAAATATTGTTTTTAATCAGATCTTCAGGCTTTACTCTAATTTACATAGATTTATTTTAATTAGTGACGGTGATTTTGTGGATCAAATAATAATAATGTGTTAAATGTTTTGAACGTCATTAATAACGATGATTATTTAAAACAATTAGTCCCTTTTATAAATTTGGATAGCGTTATTAGAAGATGGAGATTATCTGAAAAATGTGATGTATTTGCGCTATACATTTCGAACAATCTGATCACACACTTACTTGTCAAGTCGATATAGATGGAAAAATTAAGGGCAATTAAATTAAACAAAGTGACAAAAAAGGACGTAAGAATGATTAACACAAAGTTTGATTGGACAATTCAATAAGTAAATTAGGTCAGGTCTTAAAAGTTACGTAATACTAAAGTCGAAGTGGACAAATAATCAGAGTTTAAATAAATATCATAGAAGTAAAAAGGAAATGGAAAACAAAAAAGGGTGGGAGGGTTTTGATTAGAATTTACCTAGGCCAAGGGAGAGACAAAGGTAGAACAAACTTCTTTTGTATGCAAAGACTAAGACTGTTCTCTCGAATCCCCGTGTAAAAAGTAGGTTCGAAAGGCTCGTTGGAATGCGATATATAACTTTGACGTTGTATTATTTTCCTAAATTTAGTAAAATATAGAAAAAAATCCCCATTTAGACATTTAGAAAACAGGAAGATTGAGCGAAGAAATATTTACTTTTCAATTAGATCCTCATCTCTGGCTCTACTCTAATATATATAGCATTTTTATTACAATACACAACAGTTTACCAATCAAGTGGCGATATGTTTGTTAACAATAATTAGTCAGTGTCAAAAAGTCAATGGGTTGATAATAAACGAAGAAAATCAATACACATTTAAAAGGTAGAAATGGTTAGAATAAATTAATTTTTCAAGGATAACACATAATTAAAGATCAAATAAAAAAAAATAAAATTATTTGGACAGTTATAATTTTTATAATTTTAAAGGTTTAGGGGGAGGGGGCGAAGCAGTCGGGTTTATTCATTCATGTAACGATGGCCAAGGCAAGGAAAGTGGTTGTACAAATTTCTTCTGAACACATAGGTTTGGCTTCTTCAGGTGGATTCCTATTGCTTCAGCTGTCTGTAGAAGACGAACTCGTAGAGCAAAATTAAGATTAGTAGGAATGCGATAGATAATTTTAAATGCTGTATTAACATCAACCTTGTGCTCACTATCTACAAGGTGTGCTAAAATAGAGCTGCGAATAGATCTTGTTTGTCCCTTGCTTAACCACGCTGGATGATGTTCAGAAATACGATGATGAACCTGCCTAATTGTACGCCTAATACAGCTGGCTCCACAGCTGCAGTCAAACTGACACTGACTAATTATTGTTAACAAACATATCGCCACTTGATTGATAAACTGTTGTGTATTGTAATAAAAATGCTATATATATTAGAGTAGAGCCAGAGATGAGGATCTAATTGAAAAGTAAATATTTAGTAAAATATCGAGATAAATCATATTGTATTTTGAGTTTTTATTTTTAAACAGTGAAATAAATTTGTGAAGAAAATGTAAATTCTCTTAACTTTTTGTATACTTAACTAAGATAGTATTTCTTGTGGTCCACTGTTAACCAACTATCCAATGCGATTATAAAAGACTAAGATTCCAGCTTATCCAAAATGACAACGATATTATGAAAAACTTTAGTTAAGAGTGAAAACTATTGTACACTGATAGACTATGATGAATATTCTTGTGATTGAATAAATCTTTAAGCACATTTTAATCTATCATTAGTTTATTTATGAGGTTAATTAAGGCTGACTGTAAAATGAACTTTTTCCTACCCTTTGCTAGTACAATTATTCTGATTATTATTAATTTTTAAATCTGTATTTCCTATAGACAGTAAGAAGTATTGAAGATGCAGAACAACAAAAAAAGGCTATAGATAATTGGATTAGAAATATTACAGACTTGTATAGAGCTAAACCACCACCAACTGTACATTATGTTAGGTAAGTTAGATAAATAAATTTTATTAATGTTATTTTTTTGACATTATTATGTACTTTTTCATGAATAATGATAAAACTACAAAATACGACACAAATATCATCATGAATAATTAACCTTTTGAAATATACACACTACATAATGCGACATAATGGTATTTACTGCATTGGTGATTTAGTGGTTGAATGCTCTCCGAACATAGGATGTCTGGGTTTGACAAACCTTGCCTAACTGATATTAACCCTAGAAAAGAGATAAGGTTTGGATAAAAAAAGAAGACGTTCGCTACTGAAACTTCACAGTATGAGGTCCTATGTTCCACTCAGACCTCATGAAATGGAAAAATGTGTTGCCACTACCAATACTATAACTAGTGATAATATTCACAAATGTCTCTAGAATTCCTAAGTTGTACCAGTGATTTATTTCATAAATAGTATGCAACAGTTAAAACGTTCGCTAGGGAAACTCTCATACTTATAAATGGTCTGGTCAATTTATTGGTTTATTTTAAAGTAGCTTAAATAATGAGAATTAATTAAGCTATTCTCATATTTCAAGTTAGACCACGAACTGACATTAATTAGAGAACTGCTGAAAGCCAGGGAATACTGCATAAGTGTTTCACTTGGGACTTTTCAGCAGTTTATTTATGAAACAGAGTTGCAGATAATACTCAGATTGTTGTCAGTGTAGTTGTTCAGAAGAACTTCAAGAAGAAGATAAGAACTATCACTACAAAATCAAAAATTCGAGCATCTTCAAGTATCGGTTTTGTAAGGATTTTTGTTTGATTGCGTGGAGGATTTCATCATGAGCTGACATCAGTTAGAGAACCATTGGAAAACCTGGGAGTACTGGATAGCTGTTTCATAAGCCTAGCTTGGGACTCGTCATCAGTACGCACCCACCACCGGGTTCGAATCCAGGGCCTGATTACAAGGCTAGCGAGCTCGTATACCATTAGGCCACTGGGACCCGATCCGATGGCCCATGAATTCTGAATTTTGTCAATTCACATAGTGAGACCAATTAGCAACGTCTTCTTCGGTGAGTATCTGTCCTCACTTTCGACCTGCTGAACCCTACTGGCCACGGCTTCCCACTAGAACCCCAGGTAACTACCTGAATAGGGCCAGTTGCTTGTGAGCATCAGATTGGGTCCCAGTGGCTTAATGGTATACGAGCTCGTTAGTCTTGTAACCAGAAGGTCCTGGGTTCGAACCCCGTGGTGGGTGCGTACTAGTGATAAATCTCAAACTAGGCTGGCGGAACAGCCGTCCAGTACTCCCAGGTTTTTCAATGGTTCTCTAATCTATGTCAGCTCATGATGAAATCCTCCAGCCAATCAGAGAAATTCCCTACAAACCAATACTTGAAAACTTCGTAAGAATGAATTTTTTATCTGATGGTTGACTTTCTACTTCAAATTTGCAAATTACACAGTTCAAGGTGAAATTCCAACACAATATGTTACCTGAGCAACTTTGGTTTCCAAAGAGAACTGTGGTGAAATTTCATCGCAAACTGCATAAATTGCAAATTCGATTCAGTGTATTACCAGTTTGTTCATGTCTATGAACAAGATCTATCAAACACTGTAAACTAAACCAATCCTTAATGGATAAGATTTTATTTTGATAAATCACACAGTGTAGTACAGTTATATTAACTGATGACGTTTCGAGCACAAACTATTGCTCATAATCATGTCAACTTGATATCATATCATATCAACTTGATATGATTATGAGCAATAGTTTGTGCTCGAAACGTCATCAGTTAATATAACTGTACTACACTGTGTGATTTATCAAAATAAAATCTTATCCATTATGGAATTATACTCTACCACAGTGCCCAAGTTTTATACTTATATCTAAACCAATCCTGTTTTCTGTGCAAAAGCACGCCACTTAGGTAAGTATATATTGTTTGGCTGAGGTCCTCCCGATGCTTAGAACCAATAGTTGGTAGCTGTTGGTAAGTCGGATGAAACATATTTTTCGTGGAGTATCATCCAGGTTCTGAAAATGTTCACTAGTCTTTATCTAATTATCCTCACTATTGCATATCTTCATCCAGTGTAGTTTTACTACCTTTCTTTTCTGTACTTCCATATATGATTTCTAGATGTGTAGTAATTTAAGGTGCTACAGTTTTTTCCGATGTCCTATCCTAATAGGTCATTCAATTGCATAGAGTAGATATACCATTTCGAATTTATTATCTAAGTGTGAATACCAACTTTATAAATTTAAAAAAGATTACCCTTTAATTTACTTACTGAAACTTTTATAGAAATATGCCTGAAATATCACAATTAATGGCTGAATGGCCAACAACATTTGAAGAAAGTATGCGAAATCTTCAAATACCATCCTCACAGTTGGATTGCAGTCTTAAAGATTATGTGGATATTATATGTGGTAAGTGCATTCAGTTTTTTTTTTAATTGGAAGTAAATTTCTTTTGTGAAAGTATCGCGATAGACGAATTTTGATGTTAAGTTTTCACCGGAAGTTGAAAGTCACAGTTCAGAGTATTACTACCCAGTAGCTGGATGATAATGTACTCACCTCACAACACCACACTTCTAGGTAGAATCTGTTAGAGTTTCTCACGTGCACGAAAATTTTTATGCATTATTCCTAATTTTTCCATGGAACTTGGACCACTGACAATGCGTAACAAGAACTACACTAGAATCATTCCCCATTTTGAAATAAAAAGATTCAAACTATTTCAAATTCAAATTCGTCGATAAAATTATTCGTCTATTGATACTAAAGGGCGTTACCTTTATTAACTTGCAATGCAATAGATATCGAATTCACACACATTCAAATGGAGTCTATTAAACAGAACGAGACTTATAACTGTTCCTATTCGTTCTCTTTTTCCTTCTATGTATGCTCAGTATGACGGTATCAACTACAGAAGAGTATCACTTTAAATAAAGACTGAAATATTCTGTTGTGACTACATAACTTCATTCTAAACACGCCATCATAAATGCCTGAGTTCCAGAAGTGTAGTAATTTCAATAATTTGAATCCCAAAAATAAATCATTTGTATATTATTTGACATAATGCACTTCATATACACAAACTCATAAAACTGTATAATATAATAATGATTTACTTTATTCCAAAAACAGTACTTGTGATACAGAATGGAATTTTCAGCATTAATCACAAAATTGCATCTAATTTCCTCAATTATGAATAAAATTAATCACACAGAAAATTTTTCCACATTTACAATAGGGGTAATGTCAAAAAAAAACATGCAGCATATAAAATGGAAATAATAATAATGATAGCAGCTAAGATAATGATAATAATACAAGTGGAAATTGCCGTGGGCTTGTTTCACACAGTATTGTCGATGCGGTATACAAATCCTTGCATGATTAAAAAATATTGAATATGTTCTCTTTACATGATATGGTGAGGGAAAAAAGAAAGATTACAGAAGTCATAGAGATAAGTTGGTGTTTGCAGTTATGAAAGTAAAAACAAAGAAGCAACAGGACCATAAATATAATAGAAATAATAAAAGTAAAACTTGAAGGTATATAAGGATGGATGGAGGAGATTGTTTATTTACTAGATGAAAAAAGGTTAGTCAATTCTTGCCTGACGCTATTTTCATCACATAAAATACGTGCCAAGTATGGTATCATAGAATTTTTATACTTAGACGTGCGAGCATACAGTTTCCTGAAGTTACTTTTTGTTCTACCTGAGAAAATGCAAGGTGAAAGCTGAGGGCGAAGTGGATGCTCCATGACAGACAAAATCCCTTTAGCAAATTTACTGCACGAAGTCAAGTGCCTATCGACAACGACGTTAACTGTGTAGTCCACTGGGACACCACTCATCCTACTGACAGTCTTCAGCATTCTAAGAATTGTGACATAGTCCTTTTTAAGCAAACCAGGAAAGGATAAGGGTGAGCAATAAAGAAGAATAGGTAGGATGCAAGAGTTTATGAACTGTAAGAGGAGGGGTTGAGTTACACCCGAGTGCCTTAACTTTTTAATGTAAAATGTCAGGCGGAATATTTTACTGGAGATCGCTGAGACATGGGAAGACCAGGAGAGATCAGAAGAAAGAATAAGTCCAAGATACTTAATTTCTGATTTAATTCCTATATCATTGTCATCAATCTTACAACTGTCATGAGAATCGATGGCTTCTTTTAACTGTCGTTTACATCTTAAGCTGAAATTAACAGTTTAACATTTAGAAGGATTCAGTTTAAGACCGTTAGACTCAGACCATTTACTGACTCCCGACAGAAAGCTATTTATTTTGGTACAATCTAGTTGGGAGTTAACAGCCATTGAAACTGTTAAATCATCAGCGTACTTCACAAAGTTTATTTCATCAGACTGAGGTAAGTCATGTAAGAAGAAAGAAAAAAGAAAAGGAGAAAGGACAGCGCCTTGAGGGACACCAGCTTCAGTAGGCAATGAAGTGGAAGACTTCCCTTTATACACGGTGTACTGCTTTCTTTCTAAGAAATAGGAATGTAACCAGTTAACAGCCCAACATTCTGTTTGACTTGCAGCAATTTTATTTAATAAGATGTCCCCAGGGACCGAGTCAAAAGCAGATGTATAGTCTAGGAAGGCACAACGAATAAATTTAGCCCCCTTGTCTAAACTGGAAGCAATGTTATAATATAAGACGGCAGCTGCATCTAAAGTGCTTCTACTGTGCTTATAGGCAAATTGTTTTGGGCCATTAAAGGATTTAAGCGAAGGTACAAGACTAAGTAAAAGTAGTTTCTCCATAGTTTTCACAAAAGGAGAGGAGAGAGGGTCTAAATTTGACACATGCTCTAGTAGACGATTTAGGTATGGGTACAACTTTAATGTTTTTCCAAACGGTAGACACAATATTACTGGAAAAAACTTGTTAAATAGATCAGTGAGAGGGTGACACAGAATATCAGAACATTAAAAAAAAAATAATACTAGGTACATGATCTGAACCTAAGCTCTGGGAAGGGTTCAGAGACTTGAGGCACTTTTGAAAATCATTTGTGTTAAAACCTGGAAAGGGGCTATTATTAACACTAGTGATACTGAGAAGCATGGCATTTAAGGGAGAATAAACAGAAGATTTATTAAGAGTACATACATCAGAAGAATACGGCATATTATTTATCTGCTTACCACCAGTGATTTCCTTAAATAGTTTCCACATATTAGTAGCATTTTTGCAGGATATGAATTTCTGGTTATATATTACATTCAACCTCTGCATTTTAGACTTGATAAGGAAGTTAGTTCTTTTTACACCACTTTTATCTTTCATTTTATATAGTTTTTCCTTCTCTTAACGAAGCTTTTTAAGTTGAGGGGAGGAGAAACGGTCAAACTTGACGAATAGTGTTTCTTTTGGACAGCAGATTTCAAAATAGAATTTCAGATACGATGTAAAATTAGAGATAGTGTCATCAAGTGAAGCATCATTAAACAGATCCCATCATGTGTCACGGAGCATGTTTCTAAGATGATGTACGTTCTCATTTGAGTAACATCTGTGAACAACTTTCTTGGAAAAGTTAGAGAAGGCTTTTTTGTGTAACTTTCCGTAAAATTTCGGGTAGAACTCGTACAATAAAGTGATCAGAATTTAAGAGCGGAGCTCTTTTACGAGCTTCGTATATTCCAGAATCATTTATAAATACTAAATCAAGTGAAGTATCTTGTCGAGTTGGGAAGTTAACCACATTTTCATGACCCAGCAATTTAATAAAACTGTAGTCACTTGAGTTGAAGTCACCAGTCACTACAGACAAGGAGTTACCAAACGAAGCAGCAGCAAAAATGGTGAATTCATCAGCAAAGATCGATAGTTCTGAGGGACTGCAAGAAGGTGTGACATAGATATTTGTGACAAAAATGAAGTTATACTTAGATAAGTGTTTAGGTCGGCATTTAACAGTTATACAGTCAATATTGTCATTTGAGAATTTGAAGCAGACGTTGTTGGCAGTAGACCACTGAGAATTAATATAAGTGGCAACACCTCCACCTCCCTTCTTCTTCGAGCTGCATCGGTCTTGTCTGTACATTGTGAAATCACGTAAAGAGACTAAATTATCGTCGTATGAATCGTGCAGCCAAGTTTCTTGAAGAGTAATTACAGTATACATTTGAGTGTAATAGAGAATGCAAGTAATTAATCTTGTTTGGTAGAGATCTGCAATTTGTGCTCATAATCACAGGAACAGTCATCAAATGCATTGGAGTACGCTTTAAAGCTCGTTGCCATCCACCATGAAGCTTTTTCTTAAGTTTGTTAGAAACTAGTAAATCAGCCGGTTGGAAACGCGCGAACTTTGAAAAGGGAGTGAATTTTACACGCTCTTGTTTAGTTTTGGCTTTTGTTGTGTTATACGCTCCAAAAGTCTACAGATTAACTTTAAATCAGTTTATTCTGATCAAAGTTAGTTTACTTTTCAGATCTGAGTCTATTTAAATTATAGGAAATTGTTTTTTTATAACATAATAGTTATATATATATTTTTGTGCACTCATTGATTTTTATCGCTGACTTATAAAGGTCTATATACATCTAAGTTATATTTAAATTTCTTCGCCAGTCTGTTCTAGACAGTATGCCCATCAAAAAAACCCGCTGTGGAAGGGTTATGTGCCAATTCCCAGTGGATGAGGGAATGCAGTGTGATAACTGCAAGAGATGGTTTCACAGTATGTGCACAAACCTAACTCCTGCAGCATACAAACGCTGCTGTAAACCTCTAGAAAACTGGTTGTGCAATGACTGTTGTAGTACTACCAAACTCCGTATTACAGAAGCTATTGCCACTCTTAGCGGGGCTTTAAAGCTCATGGACTGCAAGGGTCTTCCATCACAGGAGAAGACTAACTGCTTCTCAGACACCGAAGATGCGACTAGCGTCATCGACAGAACAGTAAATGTTCCTAATGAGTCTTTGTCAATGATTGAGTGCCCTTCAGCACAGAAGAGCACTCACCACATTCCAGACACCCAGGCGGCCCCCACGATACTGGTTAAGCCTTCCAGTGACAGTAACGGAAAGACTGCCACAAAGAAGAGGCGTACCAGGGGTCGTAAACCCGCATCTCAAGTCACCCAGGTACTAGTGGATCAAGCCTCGTCCACACCGGTGAGTAGCAGGCAGATAAATCCTGCTACGACTAGTGAAGAGAACGCCAATGAATGGCGTAACGTAGTCTCTCGCAAAAAGCGAGATAAGGACAATACATTGGCCACACTGCCCACGAAGGACAGGAAGACATTCATGCCGCAGAGCAAGAAAACCACGGCAAGCAAACCTGATCTCTCTGACAGGTCGCTCATTCTCCACAAAGTGGAAGTCATTGGCCCCCGAACCCAAGACTAGATTTGAGCATGACCTTAACTTGGTTAAGCCCCTTTTAGACAAGCTACTGCCACAAACAGTATCAGGCATCACTATAAACAGTGTATATAGAA